GATATTACCCGCCCAACTTTACCGCCCATATGGAATCCACCAATACGGAACATCAAGCTGACTGCCCAAGCTGAGCGCCAAACGCCTCGCGTTTTCCACAATTGAGTCAACTCAAATAAAGAAAATCTCCTTTTTTATTTACGCGATGTATATACTGCTTGTAGTTTAGAAAGCCTGCATGTAGGTGTACCAGTACGCCAGGTTCGCACTAATTAGAGAATTTATAATAGTATTTTTAATACCAAAGGGTGCCTTTTTAAGTATAAAATTAAAAAAAATTAAATGTAATTAAAACTACAGTAAAAATTTAATTTAAATTATATTTGAATCTAAATAAAACGAAATAATAAAAAGAATATTTTTCTTTCTACTAAATGAATACAAATGTATATAAATTCAACATATGTATTCTATAACATGTAGTTGCATTTACAGTAGCCTAGAAAATAACTGGGAAAAATTCCTACTACGCAATTTGAAAGCATTTACAGAGTGCAGTTTTTGCAGACGGCCTGAAGGAAGCTCGGTTCCTAGCCAACATCCTGACCTGACGGAAATATATTACGATTATGTTCCCAGTTACTTAATATTACAACCCTACTAGAATAGCGTTTTTTTCAATCCAGAGCACAGCTCAGAATTTCGCCTACCATTTCATGACATAGCCATCTACTGGAGAGAATAGAAAAATGGCAGATTTGTACAGGAATCATTTGGTAACCCAGGTGCAGGGTGGTTCTCAGAGCAGTCTAAAAAATCCACGCTGGTTACTTCTTTTAACCGTCCAAATGGGTTTGCCCAAATTCCCCCGTGTCGAATATCCTAAATGTTTACAGGTGTTTTTAGTTAAGTGGTGGGGAAGTAATTTTCCCCGCTACTTGTTTATGCCACATTGACACCTCCAACGTGCCTTCAGGAGGCACGAATAAGATGGCTTCGAGGGCTTGTCAGGGGTGGTAACATTTTCCAAACAAAACAAATAACTTCTTCAGTCAGTTTGTAGGCACACGCAAGTCCTGCTCGGTGCCATGAAGTGTAAATGGCACTCTGTCTTCGAACAACTTCTCTTCACATACATTGTCCTTGGAGGTCGTACTACAGCCTACAGCGGCGAAACCGCCCCAGCTTATCCGCAGAATAACGTGAACATGTTTA